GATTGGGCAACGAAGCTCCCGCCAGCTTTCCTTCACCACTGCATCAGTGCATCAGCACCTCATATTAAAGCATTCCCATTTACACTGTCTGCCAAAAATTCCCTTCATGGATTCCCCATCTCTTTCTCTCTCTAAGATACATAAAACATATACATATATGCATTACGAAACACGCACATATATATATGTATAAAGTTGGATCTGTATATGTAAGCCTCTCCTTCCTTTATGATTTACTTTCTTCTCGATATCTCCTCTCTTTAGCGAAAAGGCACTACAGGAGCGTGAAATTGACGTCTAATTTTCAGCAATTTACTGGTCAGTTTTCTCTGCAGTTACTGAATTCTATTGAATTGAAATATTTTGTTTTAGAATTTTGAGTTTAGAATTGAAACAAATCCAGGTGAGCAAAGATTTTGCATCAAAATTGTCCATGAATTTTGTAGTTCGGTTATTGCCGTGTTTTTTAAAATTTTCTGTGAAAGTGAAATGGATCAGTGTTGTTTGAAGATGAATATAGGATCGTAATGTGAAATAGTAATAAACAGAGATCTCAAAATTAATTCGAGCAATTACTGAAATGACAATGCGTTTTTACGAGTATGCAGCCTGGGTTCGTAGAGCTTGGGAATTGTGTAAAATCGTTTGATAAATCTTGTTGATATGTATCCTTGATTGAGTGTAATTTTAACATCAATTGTCGAACGGTTATCACATAAAGCTCCATCAGAAGGTTTGACAAATAACAATAGTCATCAATTGAAGTTAGCTCGTTTTAGCTAAGTTTTAAAAGGAGATAAATTTAGGGCCAAAATGATGTATCTAGTTACTAATTGACGTGATTTGGTTTTTCCTATGGAAGATGCTATCCTTAGTAGTTCTAAGGTATAGGATTGGTTTTGCTTCGATCACATTGGAGTTGTCGACAGTGAAAATGTAATACTTTGGCAAGCTAATTCAAAACTGGACATGAAGATTTGAACGTCATGGGAGTTTGATTAATGTGTCAAATATGAACGTGACACTTGATTCGAGGAGAGGGCAAAAGAAAGCCAAGCAATAAGGCATTTTGATATGATTTGTTGCTAAAAGAAAAATCACTATAGTGATTTCGAAGTACCAACCTGACTTAATTCTTTCTTGCTTATTATCAATGATATTATTGAGTTATAAATGACTTTTGAATCCCAGAAGGGTAAAAATCTTTGAGGAGTTTACATTTACCATCATCCATGACCTTGTTCATGACAGAGACAATTGCGCGATCCATTTCATTCTCACCATCACGACCTTTAAGTCCCTTCAAGTTAAAGCCTTGAGAAAAAGAAGGTGGAAGACTAGAGTTTGAGGCTTAGATGGACCTACTAGTTGTAATCACATAAATTAAGGAAGTTTACATAAGAAATCATATTTGACAAAGTCTCTTTCCCTGGGATTTGTTCCTTAAATATCCTCACCTTTTTGACCCATGGTTGTTTCATGTACTAGAATCAACGTTTACTGCCTAAAATTTTTGAGTGAAAGTTATCAATATCTATAGGCTGTTTGTACCAGTAGGCACTTGTACCATATATTTTGTAGAATTCACAAGTATTATTCATTTATGTACCACTCATTTTTACATATTGATAATTTAAACCAATTATAAATAACTCTCAAAGACGTTATCGTTTTAGAGATGTTAAAATCAAGAACCGTTCGACACGGAAGATATTTTTAAACCAGCCAATGACATTCTAGTAATTTAGAGGGTGTAGGCTGTTTGTACAATTAGGCACCTATACCATATATTTTGTAGGATTCACAAATATTATTCATTTATGTACCACTCATTTCTACGCATTGATAATTTAAACCAATTATAAATAACTCTCAAAGACGTTATCGTTTTAGAGATGTTAAAATCAAGAACCGTTCGACACGGAAGATATTTTTAAACCAGCCAATGACATTCTAGTAATTTAGAGGGTGTAGAATTATTCTCTTCACTGGACCTAGACTGACCGGATCTATGATTCTCTGTGAAAACGAAGACTTTGGTTATTGTCTTTTACTCTGCTGCAATTTCTATGTTGCTATTGCATAGTCTTAATGGGTTTTCGAGCTTTACTGCACACACCATATTTTTCCCCACTTGCCTTTTTGGCAGAGAAAAGAACAAGAAAGACTACATGCGGGTCTTTTTTGTCCTCGCATTATTCTCATTTAGCCTACTAAAATTTTGTACATCTTCAAATCATATATTTGGGAATAAAATTATTTTCTCAAAAATATCAAACACTTGTAATCATGATTTTAAGTTCACATACTAGGACGATATTTAGCCCTGTTTGACTCATTAAAACAAATTTTTTTATTTTTTATATTCATTTTCAATGACAAGTGTATATAATAAAATATTCTGAACGTAAATCTAAAATTTCTCTTTACTTTTTAACTATATATTCTCAAAAAAAAAAAATTACCATTCAAAATATCATTTTCCTCCTAATTTCTCTTTATAATGATCATCAAACAAGGGCTTATATGGGCATATAGCTTTAAAAAGGTCTAAACTCGTTCAATTTTGCCTGCTTGTGCATAGTTCTTGTTGCTGCCATTGCCCAACTTGGATTGAAAACGTGCTAAAGATGATAAAATTGGTAGCTTAAGTGGTCACCTTTCGTCCTTGTACTAGGCAACAGTCTACGGTGCAATTATATATATATATATATATATATATGCTCTTTATTTTATACTACAATAAATTTTAATTCTCATTATATTCTTTTATTATTCAACAATTTGAATATATTCTAATTAATTATTATTTTTAATTAACATTATTTTAAAGTGTAATCAACCAATAAATAATAACTATTGGATGCATGAATATAAAATTACTTTTAAATTCAAAAGTTACAAATTTGATACTTAAAAATTAAGAAGAAATTAGCACTAGAAACAACATAAATATTAAGTATAATGATTTTTTTTTTAAATTTACTAATAAATGTAATATTTTAAGTCATTAAATATAATTTTTAAGTTATAATTTTAGTAGTAATTAAATAATTTTTGAAATAAATTAATTGGTGAGAAATAAAAAATTTAGGAAAAGAAGAAATATTGTTCATTTGGTACATATTTGGGGTAATGGCTGGAGATTACTTTACAAAATATTGTAGAAGTTGCAAGAATTTGGTGCTAAACTAATGGTTGGAGATGACTTAGGAAATCCTGAGTCACCTCTCTTCCACTATCTTTACAACTGGGCCCAATTTTATTTTAATTTTTTATTTTTTTGCATTTTATTTGTTATTCATCTTTGTTGGACTTTGCCATTTGTACACTAAATTTTTACACTTTTGTTGATACTTGTATTGTTATCAAGTGTCAATTGAATGAAAAAACTGTTTAAAATTTAAATAGTCTAATTAAGCAATGCCACGCCATGAAGTGTAAATCAAAGTATATACCAAAATATAAATGTAGCAATGTCATTGTATACAACCCCCAATGTATAGTTCCCTCACAATAGGGCGCCCGTGCCCAATAAAAAAATCTCGAGCTTTGTCAGGGGGCCTATATATCGAATTGTCACATAGCAAAATCCAACTATTAGTAAGTTTTTGAAAATTAGCCCTGTTTGGACTTTATTAAAATCTAAAATATATTTTTCTCTTTCTTCTATTTAATCCTACGTTCGTTCAATAAAATAATATTACATATAAATAAATAACAAATCTTTCTTTTTCTAACCATGCATACTTTAAAAAATACATTTATTTTCTTCTAAAAACTAATTATAATGGAGCTGAGGGCTTAATTTCTTGAAATAAAATAAAATAAAATTAGAGGAGACCAGGTTAGGTCCTTAAAAAATCTTGTAATGTTGACTTCTTTTATATTTATTCATAATAATGTTGCAGGTTATTTTATTGCGTTTATATGCACTTTATAAAGCTATAAATGAGCACCCACTAGAAATGAAGGAAAGAAAACAGATTATTAGGTCATTTTGAGTTGTATTCTCTGGAATTCCATCAACGATTATAGTAGGGATTGCATTTTGACTTTTATTTTTCTCTCGACATTCAAATGTACATTTTAGCTCTTGTTTAACAATTATTATTTGGATAAAATAGAGTTTTGAATATTGATTTTTTTTGAAGAATATGTAGTTAAAAAGTCTGGAAAAGTTTTGACTTTTGAATTTATGTGCAGAATGTTATTTGCATGAATGCGTTTGAAAATGAACATATAAAAAAAAAGAGTTTTGATAGTGATAAGTTGACTTCAAAGTAGGACCTTAGACGATCTCTTTACTCTGTCGTCAAGCTGAAAAGAATGTACCAATTAATTTTGATGTCTAGGGTTTGTTTGACATTACTGTACTTTTTCTTGCTGTAGAATCATTTTTGAAGGAAATTATTATAATTTTTGTTTAAAAAATTATTTATAAAAGAATTTCTTAATTTATAAGTCCATTTAAAAGAAGTCACGTTGGACTAACTTTCTCTAAACGTTTTTTTAATCAGAAGACATTTTCATAAAATTAACATACGATCAAAAGTGTAAATAGAATTTCTTACTCAAGGTTTTACTTTTAGTGTTTGTTTGGTAGAGATTTTAATAATTGATTTTTTGACCGTTAGAGATAAAGTGAATACTATTTATGAAAGAAGAATTCAAAAACGACGATTAAAATAGTAAAATAATAATTAAAAAATTAATTTTAATTGATGTTTAAACTGTACCAAAGAACTCTTAATCTATAGGCTATATCAAAATCCGGAACCATCCAAAATATGCTACATTCGCCTGTCACTTTAATAATTTATTAAACTAATCGTGCACCCGTCACTATAAATAATAATCTATTAGCTACCACCCTTGAGGTCACGTGTCAATTTCTTCATACAAGTGCACACGCGCTTTCGTCAATGGGTTTAAAGAATTTTAGGTAGCAAAATATTTGCAATAATTGTATCGCCTTTCGAGCCAAAATTTCTTTGGTTCATATGCATGGCTGTGATATGCATTTCTTGTAAAGCTTCCACGAGGATTCGTCTTCGAATTCTCTTCGTCCCTGACCATGCCATCTCTTTGGCACCCGGAAAATCTTCCGACCACCGTTACATTTTTTATTTTGTCTTTAATGCACCGATTCATAGTTTTCATTTCATTCTATTTAGTCTTTCATAATTTCCAAGAGCATTTGAAGTTTTTGATCAAATACGGTAAGGCTTTTAATCTATTTTGCATTGCATTGCTTTGATTTTGTGTTTATTGAATATGTTGCGCTTTGATTGAGTGGCAATTTGATATGGCGTTTCGAGTTTATTTCTTGATTAAAATAGAATTTTAATGTGCTCGAAGTTAATGCTGATTTTTACTCTGAATTTTGTTTAAGAAAATTTCTTCCGGCTGGTCCTAAACTCCATGATTTTCCTGCATGCAATCTGTTTGTGTTTTAATCCATTGTTAAATCTTCAACTAAAAATCTCATTTCTCTTTTCTTTCCTTCTCCAGAATTTAGCTATGCCTGTATGTATGTATGTACATGTTTGTCTATCCACACAATTTAGTATAATCGTCCCTTATTTTTATGTATTGAACTGAACTTGGGATACTTAATGAATTTATACAACGTGGGTTATTAAAATTTTCGAGTGTTGGGGCCTTGATGGTAGACCCCATTTTCACTCCCTCAATTCTGTGGATCCCATTTTCTTTGTTATCTCTTTCTTTATACCCGTCTATTTTTTTCTGGTATTGGTAAGTATGCAAGATGCCTTTAAATATCGACAGTCACTTGGGGGAAAAAAAGAAAAAAGAATCAATAGTACTTCTACAGAACAGTGTACTTATTGTTTCTTCATATTTTCAAATTACAAGACTTCTGGTGCTATCTCAATTTGTGCTAATAAAAATGCAGGGCAATTGCTTTCGGGGACACTCGAACTGTATTGAAGTCCATTTAGGAAGTCTTTGTTCTGAACTGCACTTATGCCTGGGAACAAGTATAACGACAACTCACAAGTCCCCAACAGTCGAGTGGCGAGGCTCGTTAGAGAAAGAGAGCTGAGAAGAACCGGCAGAGCTTCTTCAAATGATGTTACTGATGGCATCAGAGAGTCTGAGATCTCTGGGCATGATATTTCATTACCTCCCAACTTCGAACAATATTTGGAAGCAGCAGCACAGGCGATTAATGGGGCGCGGGAAAGGTCTGATGGAATGCCTAACAGACAGAGATTGTTAGTGGTTGCTAATAGACTTCCTGTGTCCGCAGTTCGGAGAGGTGAGGATTCATGGTCACTAGACATAAGTGCAGGTGGTCTAGTAAGCGCTCTTCTCGGTAAGCATTTTGTCTGATTTCTTCATTTTCACATCACTTGTTCGTTTCATTTTATCTCATGAACTTAACTATGATTTTACATGTTCTTTTTTTGTCACTTTTGGTCTGACACCTGTGTCACTTAATATAGGCGTGAAGGATTTTGAGGCACGATGGATTGGGTGGGCAGGCGTAAATGTGCCGGATGAAATCGGGCAGAAGACCCTAACTAAAGAGTTAGCTGAAAAGGTGAATAATTTTATTTATTTATTATTATTTTATTGTGTCATTTAATTCTTGAATAGGCTGAGCATTTTTTAGCGTTCCTGATTTTGGAAGTATAGATGTTAGATTTTGCTGTAGAGTTGAGCACAACTTTACCGGATTATTTCTTTTGTCATTCACTGCAGAGGTGCATCCCTGTTTTCCTAGATGAAGAAGTTGTTCATCAATATTACAATGGCTATTGCAATAACATATTGTGGCCTCTCTTCCACTACCTTGGTCTTCCCCAAGAAGATCGACTTGCGACTACCAGGAGTTTTCAGTCTCAATTTGCTGCGTATAAGAAGGCAAACCAAATGTTTGCTGACGTAGTTAATCAACATTATGAAGAGGGTGATGTTGTTTGGTGTCATGATTACCATCTCATGTTTCTTCCCAAATGTCTGAAGGAATACAACAGCAAAATGAAAGTTGGGTGGTTTCTACATACACCCTTTCCATCATCTGAAATCCACAGGACACTACCATCTCGAACTGAGCTTCTACATGCAGTTCTAGCAGCCGATTTGGTTGGGTAAATCTAGTGTCAAATCAATATCTTTAATATTTATCTTTTGCATTGTCTGTGTGATGGTTGTAACTGCAAATTCCTATCTGAAAATTACTCGGTGAATTGCATTCAGCATTGGGATGACATGTATTGCAGTTACTAGTATCAATTTTGCTTATATATAGCCCCTAATTGGATTAGATAAAAATAAGATGTTTATATATATATATATATATATATATATAAGTGAGAAGCATGTGGCTTCTTGGTGGTGACGAGTTGTATCTATCAAATGAATTGATCATTGGCTAGCTATATTTTGATAAGATACTACGTCACATGAGATGAGAAGTAAAGACATATAAGTCTTAGAAGTGACGTCACAAGGAAATTATCAAAGATGGAATAATTTCTAAAGAGAATTTAGCGGATCCTTTAACTAGACACTAAATAAAATTTTAGTGGTATCTACTTTGAGTAGGATAGGGTTGAAACTCCTAAACTATAAAAATCCACAATGATAGCAACCATACTTGTCATTACTCAAAAGGTAATCAACAGGTTCAAAGGGTACTAACAAGTCATTTAATATGTGGATGGTTGCAACATTATTTAAATCCGCAATAACCCTATCTTAATGAAAATAATGCTGGTTGTTACTAAAGTGAGGGTTGAGCTTTAAGCTTTTCATGAAGTTCAGTGTTAAAACACAAGTATCTCTAAAAGTAATAAAGGTATTGAAAGAATTTCACCTAAACAAACTTCGAGATGGTGCCGCCTCAATAGAGAGTTGGAGTTTTTCTCTTAAAAGTTTGTTGAAAAGGATAAGAGCAAGGTCATATTAGCGCTAAGCGAGTTATGAGGAACTTGAGAACACGTAATACTCGTGTGTGTATTCTTATTGGTATTGTCACATGGAACAATTGGTTTAAAGCTTCACACTACCTTTGATTCTGACTTTACTTTGTTTGAATTAAACTATGGTTAGATTCAAATCGAAAGATATATAATCCTTATGCATGAGTATTGATACTTTGAATATGAGAGTTTATTGAAATTTTGAACAATTGGGGGATTGTTGAAAATATGTTTTTTTAAAATCAAGAAACATGTATGTGGAATGGAAGGAACAAAATTGGAATATAAAACTGAAACGGCGGCTGCATGTTTAACCATGCGACCGCATGGTGTATTTGGCCATGCGTAAAAGGCTCGGTCACAAATATACCATGCGACTGCATGGAGTTAAACCATGCGGTCGCATGGTACATTTAAAGTGATCGTTAGAGGTTATTTTTCAGTTAGTTTTTTGGTGGCTTTTAGAGGGAATCTTGCATCTCTTCTTCATGACTTTTGGCACCAATTCGTGAGGTATTGATTAACATCTATAAATAGATGTTGAAGGATCAATACGTATATTGAAAAATCATATGAGAAACTGATTTTACATTCCACAAAAAAAACATTCTTTCTATTTCCATATTCAAGCAATTCCCTCTTGTGTTCTTCAAGTTTGGATAGAAAATCATTTATGCTTTATTATTTTTCTGCAACAATGTTTGATCAATCCTACGAACCATTTGCCATAAAACCCTTGAAGCATCTCATTTAATTCGGAGATGGGGCAAATATCGTTCGAGGACAGCAAGATTATTTTCGTGTTTGAGCCTTTATATTGGTTTGATCTTCTTGTTCATCTTTCATCTTCTCGAATTTTAATTTTTTGATTTCTTCTCTAACCCCGGTGATTATTAATTTTCCAACACTATTAACTTACAATGCATTCGGAAATAATTCACAGCATTTGCCTCGAGAGTCTAAAGCTCTTAACTAGAGAATGGCCATAGAGAAAGCTTGCAAAGAGGAATAAGGGCATGTTTGGGATAGCTTCGATCTAAAAATTGTCTCGTGAGGAAGCCATATTTGATCATAAACCATGTTAACTTTACAACTCATTTGGAATAATTCATAGTATTTACCTCGAGAGTTCAAAGCTCATAACTAGATAATGATGATAAATAAAGAGATAAGGTCTTGTTTGATATAGCTTCTACTTCTTAAAACATTTTCAGGAGACCCTTTAAACATCGAATTCTCTCTATTTTAAAGAGTTAACATTTAAAATTATGCCATAATAAATTCTTTAAATTAATATTTTAATTTAGAGTCGAGTTTATTTCTTCAAATTTAGAGAGTCAAATCCAATCTCTATAATTAAATGCATTCAAAGTATTTAAATTTTCAATGAAGAAAAATAATATAATAATTCGGAAGAAATCTAATAAAATAAAAGATAGAAAAAAATAATAAATATTTATTGAAAAGTAGTAAAATTAAATGTTAAATATAAAGAGTATGTTAGAGTATTTTAAAAAAAAAAATTCTCTCTTTAAATTGATAGATATTTTCTAAATTGTAAAATATGACTTTAATAGAGAGTCTCTTGAAAATATTCTTATAGAGGACACGCCTAAGGAAGCTACATTGAAACAATATATTTAAAAACTCTTTTTAACAGATAAAATATTTTAGAAAAAAAAACTATCCAAACATGTCGAAAAGAAACTTCAATCTCAAAATCAGCTTTTGACTTTTAAAATGCGCGGCTAGACGGGCATTAAGTCAAACGACTTTAAATTATATATATATAAATTTTTTTTTTTAATTTAAAGAATTCAATCCAAGAGGAACAAATTCCCTCCAAATGATTGGGCAACGAAGCTCCCGCCAGCTTTCCTTCACCACTGCATCAGTGCATCAGCACCTCATATTAAAGCATTCCCATTTACACTGTCTGCCAAAAATTCCCTTCATGGATTCCCCATCTCTTTCTCTCTCTAAGATACATAAAACATATACATATATGCATTACGAAACACGCACATATATATATGTATAAAGTTGGATCTGTATATGTAAGCCTCTCCTTCCTTTATGATTTACTTTCTTCTCGATATCTCCTCTCTTTAGCGAAAAGGCACTACAGGAGCGTGAAATTGACGTCTAATTTTCAGCAATTTACTGGTCAGTTTTCTCTGCAGTTACTGAATTCTATTGAATTGAAATATTTTGTTTTAGAATTTTGAGTTTAGAATTGAAACAAATCCAGGTGAGCAAAGATTTTGCATCAAAATTGTCCATGAATTTTGTAGTTCGGTTATTGCCGTGTTTTTTAAAATTTTCTGTGAAAGTGAAATGGATCAGTGTTGTTTGAAGATGAATATAGGATCGTAATGTGAAATAGTAATAAACAGAGATCTCAAAATTAATTCGAGCAATTACTGAAATGACAATGCGTTTTTACGAGTATGCAGCCTGGGTTCGTAGAGCTTGGGAATTGTGTAAAATCGTTTGATAAATCTTGTTGATATGTATCCTTGATTGAGTGTAATTTTAACATCAATTGTCGAACGGTTATCACATAAAGCTCCATCAGAAGGTTTGACAAATAACAATAGTCATCAATTGAAGTTAGCTCGTTTTAGCTAAGTTTTAAAAGGAGATAAATTTAGGGCCAAAATGATGTATCTAGTTACTAATTGACGTGATTTGGTTTTTCCTATGGAAGATGCTATCCTTAGTAGTTCTAAGGTATAGGATTGGTTTTGCTTCGATCACATTGGAGTTGTCGACAGTGAAAATGTAATACTTTGGCAAGCTAATTCAAAACTGGACATGAAGATTTGAACGTCATGGGAGTTTGATTAATGTGTCAAATATGAACGTGACACTTGATTCGAGGAGAGGGCAAAAGAAAGCCAAGCAATAAGGCATTTTGATATGATTTGTTGCTAAAAGAAAAATCACTATAGTGATTTCGAAGTACCAACCTGACTTAATTCTTTCTTGCTTATTATCAATGATATTATTGAGTTATAAATGACTTTTGAATCCCAGAAGGGTAAAAATCTTTGAGGAGTTTACATTTACCATCATCCATGACCTTGTTCATGACAGAGACAATTGCGCGATCCATTTCATTCTCACCATCACGACCTTTAAGTCCCTTCAAGTTAAAGCCTTGAGAAAAAGAAGGTGGAAGACTAGAGTTTGAGGCTTAGATGGACCTACTAGTTGTAATCACATAAATTAAGGAAGTTTACATAAGAAATCATATTTGACAAAGTCTCTTTCCCTGGGATTTGTTCCTTAAATATCCTCACCTTTTTGACCCATGGTTGTTTCATGTACTAGAATCAACGTTTACTGCCTAAAATTTTTGAGTGAAAGTTATCAATATCTATAGGCTGTTTGTACCAGTAGGCACTTGTACCATATATTTTGTAGAATTCACAAGTATTATTCATTTATGTACCACTCATTTTTACATATTGATAATTTAAACCAATTATAAATAACTCTCAAAGACGTTATCGTTTTAGAGATGTTAAAATCAAGAACCGTTCGACACGGAAGATATTTTTAAACCAGCCAATGACATTCTAGTAATTTAGAGGGTGTAGGCTGTTTGTACAATTAGGCACCTATACCATATATTTTGTAGGATTCACAAATATTATTCATTTATGTACCACTCATTTCTACGCATTGATAATTTAAACCAATTATAAATAACTCTCAAAGACGTTATCGTTTTAGAGATGTTAAAATCAAGAACCGTTCGACACGGAAGATATTTTTAAACCAGCCAATGACATTCTAGTAATTTAGAGGGTGTAGAATTATTCTCTTCACTGGACCTAGACTGACCGGATCTATGATTCTCTGTGAAAACGAAGACTTTGGTTATTGTCTTTTACTCTGCTGCAATTTCTATGTTGCTATTGCATAGTCTTAATGGGTTTTCGAGCTTTACTGCACACACCATATTTTTCCCCACTTGCCTTTTTGGCAGAGAAAAGAACAAGAAAGACTACATGCGGGTCTTTTTTGTCCTCGCATTATTCTCATTTAGCCTACTAAAATTTTGTACATCTTCAAATCATATATTTGGGAATAAAATTATTTTCTCAAAAATATCAAACACTTGTAATCATGATTTTAAGTTCACATACTAGGACGATATTT